CTCAGCAACGGCAAGAAGCTAACTATCTCTTATCCATGTACCATGTTGAACCACCTAGTACACGCTCAGTACACCAATCATCAGTACGAGACGTTGGTAGACCCTGTGAATTTCCGATATGAGAAGCACAGCGACAACTCCATCTTCTTCGAGGTTGATGGTCCTTACAAGGCTATGATCTTGCCCACCTCGAAAGAAGAGGACAAGAACTTGAAGAAGCGTTATGCTGTGTTTAACCATGATGGCAGTTTAGCAGAGTTGAAAGGTTTCGAAGTGAAGCGTCGTGGTGAGCTGAAGCTTATCAAGAACTTCCAAGCTCAGATTTTCAAGTTTTTCTTGGAAGGTACCACTCTTGAAGAAACCTACGGTGCTGTTGCCAAAGTAGCAAACAGGTGGCTCGATATTCTGGATACACGTGGAGCAACTTTGGCTGACGAGGAGTTGATTGATCTGATTGTCGAGAACAAAAGCATGACAAAGACACTGGAGGAGTACGGAGCGCAAAAGTCAACCGCCATCACAACCGCCAAGCGTCTGGCCGAGTTCCTCGGTGAGCAAATGGTAAAAGACAAGGGATTGAATTGCAAGTACATCATCTCTAAGACACCGAGAAATGCGCCCGTTACTGAACGCGCTGTTCCTTTGTCTATCTTCTCCGCCGAGGAATCGGTAAAGCGATACTTTCTGAGGAAGTGGCTGCGAGACGATCCAGGAGAGATGGATATTCGATCAGTTCTCGACTGGGATTACTACCGCGAGCGTCTGGCTTCTGTCATTCAGAAACTCATCACCATCCCTGCAGCATACCAAAAAGTTCGGAATCCCGTTCCTAGGGTCCCACATCCTGATTGGCTTGACCGTAGGATTCGTCAGAAGGAGGACAAGATGCAGCAGACAAAGATGACGGACATGTTCAGCAAGAAAGTCCTAACTAACGGCGACGCCAATGTCGCGAATAACAAGGTCACTGGCGACTTAGAAGATTTTGGCTCCGCCAAGTTGACGCAGAATCAATCACAGATGAAAAAGGGAATTGTTACTAAGATGGTCGCAAAGCGCAAAGAACCTGAGCCTGCAGTACCGATTGTCGATCCTTATGCTGCTTTACCTAAAGTCATGCCGAGTATCGATGAAGACTATTCCGATTGGTTGGTGTACCAGAAACAGAAATGGAAGATTCAACGTGAGGCACGGAAACGCCGACGCCAATTGTTTGGAGAGAAAGCTGTTGACGCATCCGACGCGATTGGTAGTTTCTTCAGAAACCAGGCACAATCCCTCTACATCAGCAAATGGCAACTTGTACAACTTCGGCCAACAGAAACACCAGGAGAGGTTAGAGCCTTTGTTCTCATCGATAAGAAGATCCACGCTCTCAAAATCATCGTACCGCGACAACTATATCTCAATCTGAGGAGTGAAGAGCTTCCAGATGTATCGATCAGTGGATGTTCAGTAGAAAAGGTGGTTAACCATACTTTGCCGAATGGGCATCCTTCGATTCATCTGTTCAAACTTCAGATGTCAGAGGAGACCTATGTCCATGAAGCTGATAGCATCTCGGCTCTGTTCAATCACTCTAGTATCGAGGGTGTCTATGAGAAGCAAGTTCCGTTGAACATTCGGGCCATTCTTGAACTGGGAAGCGTTTGCACATTCGACGAGTCCCAGAAAGGTGTTCTTGGAAAAGGTCTTGAGCATGGATTCGACCTCTCCGCACTGCGCAAAGTGCCGACCAAGGAGCCATATCTTGCCGAAGCGCCCTTCAACTACGTGTATCTGTACCATGTCAGCAGCGGAGACCGTAACATCTATGCCGTTTTCTCAACGTCGAAGAGCGACGCCCACATAATCATCCAGAATAAGTCCAAAGACTCGCAAGGTATGCCGAATGTCGACCGTATCTACCGCGATGCCTTACAACGACGAATGGGAGACAATGACGGTGAACCATGGCAAAACATGATCAAATACCAGGAGGACCTTCATTTCAAGACGACAACAGTGACCACGAAACGCAAAGCTCTGCTCGAGATAGGCGATGTCATCAAGAGGATGAAAGCAGATGAGACTGGGCCGATCATTGCTGTCATCCAATCTCCGAACCAGGCCCTTCTCTCACACGATGTCCCTGCCCTGAAAGACTTGCCCATCTTGACACTCAACCCCAACGAATCTGACAAGCAATTACCACCACTTGGCTGGCAGTCCTTCATTGCCAAGCGATTGGTAGGACACTACCTTGATCTTGGGTCTTGGGTTGCTCATCTACTGGAGCTAGCTCGCTATGGAGACATTCCGCTCTGCAATCTCGAGAGTAACGACCCACGCTTCCTTATTGACATCGCATATGCCAGAAGGCTACAAAAAGACCGCGTGATCTTGTGGTGGTCTGGCCAAGCGAAGCCGGATCACGCTGGATACGAGAAAGATGATGTCCTCGGACCTCTCGAGACAGTAGAGATGCCATCAATCAACAACCCAGGTACCTACTCATCTGTGTGTATCGATATCAATCTACGCAACCTGGCTATCAACACCATCCTATCTTCGTCTCTTATTAACGAGCTTGAGGGTGCAGATTCCGTTTCGTTCAATCCTGCTGCACCATCATACGACTCGGCTAATGATGGGTCTAATGTCATATACTCAGACAATGCCTTTGCGAGTGCAGGTATTACAGTCCTTCGCGAAATGGTGAAGGCTTGGTGGGTTGAAGCTGTCCAGGCTGGCCACGGCTTTAGTATGGCCGATGTCATGGTACAACATCTTGTCCGTTGGGTCAGCAGTCCTGGGTCCTTCCTCTACGATCGCTCTCTACACTACTACGTCCAAATGATGTCAAAGAAGACACTGCAGCAACTCATGACCGACTTCAAGCGAGTGGGTTCACACATTGTCTTTGCTAGTCCAAATCGCCTTCTCCTTCAGACAACCAAAGCTGAAATCGGCAATGCATACGCCTACAGTCAGTACATCATCAAGACAATCAAAGCGAAGCCACTGTTCCAGTTTATGGAGCTTGAGATCAAAGAGTTCTGGGATTATCTCGTTTGGTATGACGAGTTCAATTACGGAGGCAAGGGCTGCGACAAAGTGACCGAAGACGAGGTCCAACCTGTGGAGAACATTATGTGTTGGCAGCTTGCGCAATTCTTGCCACAAAAGTTCCAGCCGACCTTCAACGACTGGGTGATTGAGTTCATTGAGCTCATGCACTCACGTAAACGCCCAGCCATCACTGAAGATGGCTCGACACCACGACCAACTCAGATTCCTCTTCGACCTCTGACTGTGGATCCCAATGAGCAGACACAGATACTACCGAAGACATTCACAAAGCCCCTATCCAAGCAGATGAATGCCTTTGCGAAAAAGCAGCACGCAGAAGTACTGGATCCTCTATTCGCATCTGAATACGTCTTCCCAGAACTTCCAGGCTCGCACCTCAAGCTCACAAACCCGGTCCTCCAACTCGTCAAAAGCATCATGCAGGTCCTTAGTCTGGACCGTGCTATATCGCTCGAAGCACGCGCGCTGCGAAAAGAATTGCTGAATCTCTTCGACATACGCGAATTTAGCGCAGAAGCAACATTCACTAACCCAAGCGCCGCACTCGTCGTTCGAGGCGTCATTTGCGACGACTGCACATCCTCACGCGATCTAGATCTCTGCCGCGAGTCCTCACTTCTCCCCGTCATTCTCCCCGACAGCGACGCCGCCCCTGTCATGCCCAAATGGAAATGCGACAACTGCGACTCTCCATACGACAAGCGCTGCATCGAGGAGCAACTTGTCGGCGAGGTACAAAAAATGGTTCTCGAATGGTGCACGCAGGATCTCAAGTGCGGAAAGTGCAAGAGGCTACGCAGCAACGAGTTCATGGAACACTGTGCTTGTGCGGGAGAATGGGTGCCTACTAAGAACAAGGCTGAAATTAAGAAGAAAATGGGAGTGTATGGCAATGTCGCTCGGTTCTACACTCTGGGCATGTTGGAGGCGGTTGTGGAGGAGTGCTTATCGAGTTTCTAGGCGTTGTCAGCTTGGTTACGTCGGCATGCATCAAATGCGAATTGGTCTTTAGCTTCTGCACGAGCATGGGCAGAATCAAACGGCAACTGTATGTGTTTTGCGACGGTTTTCGTGTATGCTCGGATTTTTTTTCCCGTTATCTCCCGATCATGTTTTGGTGTTATCGGCGTTCATTGGGGTAAGGGCAACGGTTTTTGATGGCGACTAGAGCGACTGAGTGGGGGGAGGGGAGTGGGGTTGTTTGTCTCCGCAGTTCCTTCGCTGCATGTACTTTGTTTATCTTGACGTCTATCTATCTATCAAGCTTTCTGTATACAATGAATGATTGTCCTCGATTCCCCTCTTACAATTGAGGTGCTACGACCTCAATGATCTAGTAAGAAATACGACAGCCATGCTCATGCACCACCGTTATGATGTGCAGTTTTCTTGTTGCAGAGTGAGGTCATAGCAAGCACGGCAAGGGTTGTTGGTGGAAGCGGGGGTGGGCTTTTGCGTATCTTGCGTCAACTGTGCCTCTGGATGCGTGCGAGCACGCCATTTTGCCTAATTTGTTGCCAACGGGATATGCGCGGTTGCATTGCACCACACGCAAACAGTCGCGAATGGGAGTGTCCCGATTGAGGAATCCGAAAGGTTGGAGTAAGCAAGTGAGGGGTGAAGTTATGTCAGTAAAATGCTTTGGAGGGGTCAGGGTGGTATGATGATTGTGTGCAGGGTATAAATACGGTACATAAAACGTCTACTCTGCGCCTGGCTTTTTTTCCTCTTGTGTTTCAATTATTGGGATTTTGTGTACAAAGAGAGCAGCAGCAACACCTGTTTCTTCCAATTGAAGAATAGAAGAGTGTCAATTGGAATTGAACAGCTTCGAGTTTATCAATCCACACTCTTTCAACCTTCCAACTCAAACAAACAAAAAAACACGCCCAAAACCAAGAGCTACTACTACACACACATACACAACCATGGCGCCAGCTCTAACATCCCAGGCGCCCGACGCCCCTCACACCCTCTCCTCGACGCCCAAACAACTCTCCAAAACCCTCTTCCCAGACGGCCTCCTCACCTCCGGCCAACACGAACCCATCTACTCCCTGCTAAAACCCTACTCCTCCTTCCCAAAAACCATCACCGGCCCCACTGCCTGGCAAGCCTCCGACTACTCCTCCAACCCCGAACGCTGGACGCACATCTTCTCCGCAGCCGAAGTCGCGGAAATCAGTGCGGCGGCAGATGCGTTTCTGACGAGCGGCACACCGCTAACGGGCATTACGTCTGAGAAGTTCCCTTTGCCAGAATTCTCGAGGTTCTTGGCGCCGCTGAGGAAGGAGCTTATTGATGGAAAAGGGTTCATTCTTTTCAAAGGGTTGCCGGTGCAGGAGTGGGGGAATAAGAAGTCGGCGGTTGCGTATATGGGGTTGGGAACGTATCTGGGGTACTTTGTGAGTCAGAATAGTCGGGGCCATGTGTTGGGGCATGTCAAGGATCTGGGTGAGGATGCGACGGCGATTGATAAGGTGAGGATTTATCGGACGAATGCGAGGCAATTTTTCCATGCCGATGATGCGGATTTGGTGGGGTTGCTGTGTGTGGCTAAGGCGTTAGAGGGGGGTGAGAGTGATCTTGTAAGTTTTTTCTTTTTCTTTCGTTTCCTCCTTTCTTCATTTGAGGAGGGTTTGGGGGTTTTCGAAGACTAACGGTGTTTTTGAATAGGTCAGTAGCCATACGGTCTGGAACCATCTCCAGGAGAACCATCCCGATGTTGCGGAACTGCTTACACAGCCAATCTGGTATTTTGACCGCAAGGGCGAGACGAGCAAAGGGCAGAAGGAGTGGATCCAAACTGCAGTCTTTTACCTCGAGACGGGCGATAACCCAAGAGTGTACAGCAAGTAAGTCCTGCTCATCTCTCCACGTTGGATCGTACAGAAACTGACGCAGAGAATAGATGGGACCCATACTTTGTTCGCTCCCTAAGCCGCTTCTCAGAAAAGGGTCTTGTTCCTCCTCTTTCTCCAGCCCAGGAACGTGCCATTACCATCCTAGAAGAAACGTGCCAGAAGTTTGCTCTGCACATGATCCTTGATGTGGGCGACATCCAGTTCCTATCCAACAACCACATTTTCCATGCTAGAACAGCGTACAAGGATTACGCACCACCAGCACCGCGGAGGCATCTGATGAGGTTGTGGTTGAGCACTCCAGAAGATGAGGGCGGCTGGAAACTGCCATACCATGATAGCAAGGAGAAGAAGAGGGGAGGTATCCAGGTTGACGATACGCCACCAGTGGCTCCTGAAGATGCAGAGTAAGATGTAAATAAGTTCGATGATGCAAATATCCTCTAGATCCGTAGCTAGCCTGTAATTTGTGAGCATAAAAAAAATTCAAGAGTCCCTATATCCCGGTTGCAAGTGCCAGATTCTGCATTTCAAAGTGGTATCATTCTTCTTTCGAGGCGCGTCTTCTGCACCAATCCTGAACTGCCAAACGCCGTGCATGCTATACCATCTGTCCAATCATCGCCGATCCGATAGCTATCTTTTCGCGCTCCATTCTGGCATCCTGTGTGGGGCACTCGCCCATATGCTGGGTACCCCAGATTCCGCTTGCGCTGATTTTGATCGTGTTGCAATCTCTGTCCCAACACTCTTGCGTCATTGCGTCTCTTGCATCTTGATATCATCCCTCAGCCCTAGAAGCCTCGTCCACGTCCCCTGCCACCGCCGCCCCTTCCACGACCGCCTCCACGTCCTCGGCCACCTCCGCGGCCACCGCCCCTTCCGCCGCGGTCACCACCAGCAACCTCTTTCCTTGCTTTGTTCTTGGGCTTTGGCGCATCGTCAATGAGAAGTGTATCGAGTGGTAATGAGTCGGGAAGTATGATGTAGCGAATCGTTGAGCCACGGACAGTCATTGTATCGAGGGCTACGGTATCGCGAGACTTGGGCGTGTACTTGACCGCTCGGAGGGCGACGTTCATAAGCGGTGAGACAGAGGTAATGGTTCCATTTACAATCGTGCCTGTGCATGTGTTAAGATCGTATCCTTGTGGTAGGGGTATGAAGTGTTTGGGTAGGAGATTGCCTGCCTGCGCAACTCGGTATACAACGCGCCCGAAAGCAAAACATCCGCTGTTCATAGGCCGAGTCGACGAAGATGAACTGTGAGATTGAGATCTTCTACTTACCATTCTTGAGCTCAACCGTGACCGTCTCATTCTGGCACTTCATAAGAAACCTGCGCGAAACCGTTAGCCGCAATTGTAGCATGCTGTCCGAGGCCATCGTACCTGACGAGCTTCATATTTGCTGATTTTGAATTTACGCGACAAAAGAGGTAGGATTGTGAGTCGGTCAATAGTGAAATTAAAGGTGACCCGTCGCGTTGCTGCTGGTTACCAAGGTAGACTCGCGGGGGAGCTCCGACTAGGAAATTGCGATGGAGCTTCCCAGGTTACACGCAACATAATTGATCCGGCCGCAGTCACGTGCAGCGACCGCCTCTCATCCATCACCTTCACTCTTTTAGGAGCCAATAATGCGTCGGTATGTTGGAGATTGAACTATTGATTTTTCGATACCTTTTGGCCTATCGCTACAACTTGCAATATTTATAATGCACGATTAGGGTATAATGTACATATATGACATACGTTGTGACCCTCTCTTCTATCCGCCAAACGAAAATGTGCCTGATTTCTTCAGAGACTTATGTCCCTTGTAGTTCGCCTTGGTATTTATACGGCTGTTTCCCGGTGATTCTAGCCATACTTGTTCCTGGACAGGAGTAAGATCCGCCATCATAGCTTGCTGCATCTCGTCTGCCGATGACTGAGCCGTGGATTCTGCAGGAACGTACTCGATTGGCTTGTGTGTGACATCGAATTCATACACTTCCTTCAAGTATTTGGCGATGGCGGCGTTCTCCTCCTCACTACCGTTGCCGTAATGGCGCTTCAGCTCTTTTGCGACGAGTGTATCGATAATGTGACCTTCGTCGAGAGATTGTCTGACTTCTTCATCGGCAGTATTTTGCTTTGGTAGATTGACTGTTGCTCTCCAGTGTATGCCCATAGCAGCAAGTCTGTCCTTCCTCGACCATGCCGTAGCGCGCAGTGGAATTGTCTGGACAAATCGCTTGACACGCTCTTCCAGATCGTCCCAATCAACGTTCCAAACAAACCAAGGCTGCAACATTTCGTCGATAGCACGTGGGAAGTCTCGGAAGTGCTCTGTAGAGTAGAATATGTGCTTGATTTTGCCCATCAGGAACTCCACATCCATACCTGTGATAGTAGGGTTCACGCCAAGTCGACGCAAAGACTCACACCAATCAATGTGGACAAGCTTCCGGAACTCGGTTTCAGAATAAATCTGTAGGCGATTGATGATCCGGGAGAGAACTACACGGAGTTCTTCTTGGGTCACTTCTCCAGAGATATCTATTGCCGAAGCATCGAAGAGCGAAGGGTGAGTCTGGGTAAGGAGACGCGCGCGACTCTTTTTGAAATGTAGAGCATCCAATTTCTTTTCACCAATTTCCACCATTGCATTTTCAAAAGGCTCCTTCAGTGCAACCGTATAACTCATCTTTCGAAGATACTCCCGAAGACGGTGCTCAATCTGCTCGATCTTCCGTATATCCTCTCTCGACATGTCCCCAGGTTGCCTTTGCAGATCGAACGGTGGTGCTAGATTTGCAGCTCGCAGAGGTTCCATAATGTCGCTAGGCAAGAAATCTCTACTGTTAGGACTGACACCCAGGTTGTACAAGAAGATCCGGTAATGTTGTGACAGGAAGCGCGAGTCTGTTTCGATCAACTTCGTGGCCCGGTCTACAATTTGCTGCCTCATAGATGGTGTCAACAGCCCGTAAAAGTCACTGAGCACTTGTTGACTCTCCTGTCCGGACTTGATTTTATTAGGGAGTTTCTTTTCCTTCCTACACTCTGCAACAAGTAGCTCCACACTTATGCCGAGACTTGACGCAGGATATGGTAGATTGCTTTCAATGATCCGATACGTGTCTTTTGTTGGGTTCTTGTAATAGGTGGGGTTTGCCTTTATCAGTTTCTTGACCTCATTCATGTATTCTCGTCGCTCCTTGTCGCCTGGAAACAAAGGATGTTTCCAGAATGACGAGACACCTTCGCTAGTGGACGCTTGTGCCCTCTCCGAAGAGTAGACAATTGGACCCTTGGGGTTCCGGTATCTTCTGTCAATGTAGAGGATAGCTGGCCCTTTTGAAGCTTTGTGTTCCATACTGTCGACTTTTGCAACGAGAATAACGTGGTCGCCAACGGGGAATTGATGAGTGACTTCGCATTCCATTGCAGCTATCACAGAGTCACTCAAGATCTGTGGTGCGCAGGAGCGTGTTGTGGCGGGGTGCTTTTTGTCTTTGGGCTGATAAAGCTTCAGCCTCTTAGCTCGCCGATTGTATGTCTCAGCACTATTCCCGTGGCAGAAGAGGTCCACTACATTGGCGCCTCCTCTTTCAGCTGCCAGAAAATGGACACGGAAAAGGCCATTTGCAGCTCGGATTGCATCTAGAGTCTGGGACGGCTCTTTTATATTGAAGGAAATAGTGGGTGGATCCAGGCTAACGGTACTGAGTGAAGAGACAGCGACGCCCATAGGTACATGCTTTCCAGTCTCGGGGTCAGTGTGTACGACCGTGATGACCGCAACAGAGCTGGGCACGTTGCGCATTAATTGACGAACAGAGTTTTTCAATTTTGCCTGCTTTAGCTCAGAATCGGAGACTTCGGGTAAGATGTCGTGCTCTTCGGTGCTTGGCTGGCTGTTTGCTATTTCCTCCCGTATACTGTCTGCTGGCTGAAGCACTGGTATTTCTGTTCCATTTGCCATCCCTCTGATATCATCACTAGGATTGATGGCAGACTCATCCTGCACTTGCGATTCAGGTTGGGCTTGCTGTCTGAGAAGACGAGTTGTGTGGTAGTGCTGCGGGAGGCCAATGCGGTTGCGGTAGTGTGTACTGTTCAAGGCACATAGTTGTGTGTTTCCTAGGCTCTGTGTCAACAATGGCTGGTTTCAAAGGACGTAGGCACATCTCACGAGTGTGTAACTCCCATCTATAGAAGGCCGCAAAGAAGCGGCACGCCGAGCGCTGCGCAAGCGCCATTGCTGCAATGAAGCCTATATCTTTCTTGCCGCATACGCAGGAAATTCGCAACACTTTCGTGCAATTGGGATTATCGAAATACGAGAATAGGGAAAAAGAGGGGTGCGATGTGAATGACGATGGTTCGCGCATTGAAGATTGAATCGACTGGGGTGTCGGAAATATTAGCGCCGCCCAAACCTCCGTGTCTTCTCCGCAACTTTCTATCTCGACCCGCCATTACCATCCTAGCACCCTACCAACCACCATGGCATCTCCAGTCCCCTCAATGAGCGCATTACGTGCGCTGCGCCAATCAATTCAGCCCCAGATACAACAAAAAAATCAAGTGCGGCACGCGACACTGCTCCGCCGACCGAAGCGACCTTATACCTTCACACAACTCATAACCCTCTCCGACGGAAGCGCCTTTACCGTACGAACAACGAACCCCCAGCCCGTGTACAAGAGCGCAAAAGACATTCGCAACTCGCCGCTATGGAACCCCAGTTCGCAGAAGCTATTAAATGTGGAAGAGGATGAGGCAGGAAAACTGGCAGCTTTCCGAGCCAAATTTGGGCGGGGGTGGGATGCCGAGACGGACGCCGACAAGGTAGGGGGTTTCTGTAAAAAGGGCGCAACAGGGTGGAATTAAGGGCAACTGTTAATTTATCGTATAGGGCAAACAGACGGAAGATCATCTTTTGGATCTCATCAGCCGCCAGGGCAAGAAGACAGCAGCGCCACCGACAGATGCTACCAAGGCCCCGCCTGCGAAAGCACCGGCGTCAGCTCCAGTAAAGCAAGCGGGAAAGAAGTGAGGGAATATGGTGTGATGGATGAATTGGCATTATGTACACGCCAAGGGAACTTTATACAGTAAGCCACAATAAGATGGTGAATTCTATGCAGAAGCTCAACGACAGTGCGTTTCCCTTGTGTCACAACCAAAAACAGAAAGAAACAAGCTATTGGCAAAAGGCCATGGATTTGCCAAATTCCCACATTTCCAAGTTTTTTTTTGGCATTACCACAATCAAAGAAACCCAACCAAAATGACACTAAGCCTTGGAAATTTCTCTTGAGCCAAATTCCCAAACCATGCCCTACCAACCAACCGACCAACCAACACGAACCCGCCCTAACCAGACTAGCCCACCGCGTATATTGGAAGGAAAAGAGAAAAAAAAGAAAAGGGACTACCGAATAAGAGACATCACACATCCGCCGCTTTCCACGCGCCCGCTCGCCCACACACAACCCAACCCTGCAGCTCCAAGAAAACGGGCCATACGTGGCGCAGTATTCAGTCCGCTCCTCGTACTCGGAATGGAGGAAAAGGGAGATTAAAGCAACCCCACCAACCAATCAGGAGCAAATTTGGAATTTCCAGATTGGCACTGAGGCGCGGTTGCATGTAGGTAATATGTGATGATGATGTGATGTGATATGATATGGAATTTTTGTGCTCCAAGCTAAGGGGGGGAGGGAGGGATGATGAGTCGGTGTTTTGATGCATGCGGAAGGGAAAGGAAGTGTAGCTAGGTAGGTAAGTAGGTAGACTAGCCCACCAACACACACATGCAACCTTCTCGATTCTGAGTAAGTGATGGGGTACATGGGAGTGTTGATGGTTGCACAGCATGGGAGAGCAGCAGGGATAAGGGCAAGGGCAAGGAAAGCTGCAGAGAGAACACAAAGCGAAAGTGTGCAGTGTTTTTGTGGGCGGCGGCCCCAAAACAGATCTGAGCACATTTTTTCTTCCCTCTCTCTCCAAACCGGAGACGGGTTTGCGGCGTTCGTCAGTTAATGCATGTTTTAGTCGGGCATGGGGGGCTTGGCGGCCGAATGGGGAAGTACAAAGTGCAAAAGTGCGAAAGTGCCATTTTCTTTCACATGCGAAGAAAGTTTAAAAAGCAGTGACATTAAATTGTCATCTTTTGTCTTAGCGTTACGTGAGATGGTTGATGGTTTTTTTGTGGCGCTTCAAAGTTTTCATGCATATTTTTCTTTCTTATATAAGTAAAGCCGTAAAATACTCAGCGCTTGTCAGACGAGTTATCTTAGCCGTCGGTTAATGCCAAGGTGAAACAAGTAGCGGAAGAATGGATAATTGGAGCTTTGCAGCGTTTGTTGCAGCAGTGTTTGAGGCTCAACTGTTCCTGGCAGTGAGGGTACGCGTATAAGCGGAAGGAATTCCGGTTTTGGTTGACACGTTCCGTGGTAACGTCTGCAGCTGCAGTTTGCTCGGACAAAGTCCTATCATGGAAAGGCGGGGGGGGGGGGTTTCTCTGCAGTCGTGTGTTTGTAAAATCAGTCCATGTTACCGGGATATGGTTGCGGTTGTAGTTATTGGAATTTTATAACGTTGTAGTGCATGAAAGGCAGGGGTGTGCCGCAACGGCATCGGCACTGGTGCCGAATGATACATAAGGACTAGAAGAACGGTACGCCATAGCTCCATGAACAGCGCTTGATTAATAGCAAACATGTAGTATAGCACCAAAATGTGCATGTGGGGTATAGCGGGGTGTATAGCAGGCACCAGAATGTGCCCAGGTTCACTGTCGCCTGACCTGATCCGGCGAGCACGTGTCGACGGGCGGGAGCAAGCGCTGGTAGGATTGCTCGCCTACGATGGTCGACTCTCTGTGCTCTAAGAAGGTGCGGATGCGCTCGTCGCGGTTGCCGCTGGCGCTCAGGGTTGCGTTCCTGCTGCGCCGGTACTCCATGCTTGCCTCTCGGTGGATCTGGTCGCGACGCTCAATGACAGAATTGTTGAAGGAGTTGAAGCGAGTGCCTTGGACGACACCTCCAATGCTTACAAATGCGAAGAGGAGGGCCATAAAGGTGAAGTTTGACATTTGGATGGTGCGGGCATCAGAGTCTTTGGCGCCGCTGTTCTCATGGTGCCAGCGCTCCCAATCCTCCCAGGTTGCATTGGTGCGGGGGTCGGTGGTCCAACGGCGTGCGTCATAGTCCCAGTCGCTGTGTCGTGGGGCAGTGGGTGTGTGGTGGTGGCCTGCCCAGCCGTGGCCCCAGGCATCATACGCCTTGCGTTTCTCAACATCCGAAAGGATATCGTGCGCAGTGACGAGCATGCGATAGCGCTCGAGGCGCACGTGGAGAGGCAGCTGGGCTATGGCAGGAGAAACATGGCTGCGATCCGGGTGGTAGAGCTTGACGAGGGCGTAGAAGCGATGTTTGGTATATGCATCGCCCTTGCGGCACTGGAGGATCTGGTAAGGCGTGGGTGTTTTATGGGGCCTCTGGGGTTCGGGCCACGTCAGCAGGTCGGCATCGAGGTGTTGGGCATATGTGCGTCGCTGTTGGTAGTAGACGGGGTGGTGGTGGTGGTGATGGTTGTGTTGGTGTTGTGGTGCGGCGATGTGAGGGTGGACAAGTGTATGACGGCATGACTTGGGCGGGCTGGTGGTGGTGGTTGTGGTGTTGCTGCCATTGCCCAGGCACAGCGGGGTGAGGCTAGCATACGACGATACAAAGAGCGGGCATTTCCTGGACAGCATGGTCGGGCGACAGCTGCCATGGGCGGGCGTACATTTCACAGCCCGTCAGTTGGTCGGTCAGTCAGTCTGTCATCAGTCACTCAGGCAATCGGTCGGTCGGTGGTCGTGTGGGGATGGTGGCGCTGATCCATTTCATGCGCCGCGCCGCCGCGTGCGCTAAGCCTGTTTGGGTCGGGATGCGGCGTCTGGCCGTCTGGCCGTCTCCGTCGTCCTTGTCGTCCCCCTTTGCTGGTGTAGTAGTGTGTACGTACACCTATCGTGATCCGACTCGCAGCAGGTCAGAGGGAGAAAAAGGGCGGCCGCGGGCGCCGTCGTCGCAGAGCAGCCAGCCACCATGCACGCGCGGTCAGTTCCGCTCCCCTCCAGTTGCTCCGAGCGGGCGCGGCGTGGAGCCTCGTAGAGCGCGAGTCAGGCCCCGTTTGACGTGAACTCCTTCGTCCTCGCTTGCGCATGCCATTCAGACGCCTCCCCCTGCACCGACACCGACAGCTGGGTCGCCGTGCATGAACGGCACCCTGCAACACATCCACCCGCCGACCCTTCTTGTCCTCGTCAACCTCCGCCTGCTGGCCGGCCCAGTGGGGGCTAGAGGCCGCTGTCCTGCCATCAAACATAACCCGTTTGCTACCTCCCAGGCGAGACCGCCGCCTTTGTTCTCGTCTCGTGCCCCCGTCGTCTTAGCCTTTCACCTACTTCTCTACGGTCCTTTCCGCCTGACACTTGCACTACTTGCTGCTTGCATTTATATCCTGCAAACCCCCCCCCTTCCCTGCCTTGGCCACCCACCCTCACCCTACCCCATCCTGTCATCATCATCATCATTACCCTCCAGCTTTGTCAATACGTACCTGAAAGAGCAATGGCAACCCTCCGTGACACCCCCCGCCAGCCCCGGGAGGGCTACCTCAACTTGACTCGCCGCATGGAGAATGAAGAGCAGGACCAGTTTGATGTCGATCTGACCATCCTCGACTTTCTCGTCTTCAAAGCCACCGGCCTCATCTTCGAGTGGAAGTCAAGCAGTGACCCCTACCATTCAGACCTTCCCAATGCCCTAGTCAACATGACTGCCGGTATGCCTAACTTGTCTTTGCCGTGCTGACCCTAAATCGTTGACGGCAAGTAGATTGGAGGGTCTTTCTTGGCCACCGGCACCAAGGCCGCTGTCTGGACCCCAAGGCCTCATTTCGGTCGCGCCTGCTTCAGTTTGCTCTACTCTTCACCCACCGCCTGCACCACACCGAAACATGGACCACCGAAGCATCTCTCAACAGCCTGCGCGACCAAAACAAGAGCCGCGGCGAGTACTGGCGCCAGCGAACCCAGCACCCACCCGCACTCGAGCAACCTTTTGACCAGCACAAGGACTTTCCCCTTTCAGATGGCGCTCTCTACGAAAACCGTTCCGAACTCGCATCTGCCCTAAGGATGCCCATGGACCAACGAAGATGGGTCACCGACGTCGCCAGCACCCCCTCTCTTCACTGTCTCCTCCCCGTCTTCATCGAGCTGACCGCCGCCCGCGCCACCCTCGACGACACCTGGCTCCCCACCTCTAAATGGTACGACCTAGCCGCCCAATTCATGCTACAAGCCGTCATCGGCGAGTACCTCCGCAACGGCTCCTACGGCCCGGAAACCTTCAACACAATCTTCTCCTATGGCTGCCCCGGCGTCGAGCGCTGGGCCGACGAACCCACCGATGTCTCCGCTATGCGCATCCTATTCTGCGACCCGGATAACCAGCGCCAAGAAAATCGCGAGTGGACACGCATCAAGCGCCGCTATATCGATGAGTTGTTGCCCAAAGATCGAGCCCAGTCGAGTCTTCAGGCCCTACAGGCCGCACAGCAGCGGTATCCCTATGCCGCGTTTGAACGGGCGTTGCTGGCGTTTTTGCAGAGTCTGCATGAGGGGCTGGTCAAGCCTGATCTTGCGCAGGTGGAAGAGGGGAGAATCAATATCGATGGGAGTGAGTTGTCAGAGGCTGAGTCGAGAGCCATGATTCGACGCATGGGGTTATGAGATACCCCTTGTCTGTTGCTTCTTGCTCTTCTCTTCTTCTTGTTCTTCTTTTCTCTCATCTCGACTACCCCTTTTTTGCATCTTTCTTCTTTTTATCAGTGGTGCTGGACAAGACTTGTCTTTTTCTAATTTCCACACTGAGGGCTGCTTCTGTTCGCCTTGGCCTCCTTCCTTCTTTTTTTCTTCTCGGATATCCTCGTTTCCGTCCTCCTTTTTCCCTTACTTAAGCGAGGACTTTTGCCTGTTCTTTTTCGAGGACCAAGTGCGACTTAGCGAGAGTGGGACTTGTCCCATTTCCACATGTCCCCTCGAACTGTCCCGGAACCCCTGCACTGTATCATATTGCTTGTCGACTGACATTCGTTCTTTTTCCTTTTTGGCTGTCTATATCCCCTTTTCTTCTTCAGTTTTTTTTTCTTTCGGTATTCTCTGTAGCTTTCTTGGTTTACCCAGGCATAAAGCTAGTGTGTAGTCTCTTGTTTTTGCTTTTACGCTTCTATCCTGCGAGAAGCGGTGACGGCCGGATGCGATGTTTGCTCATGAGATAGTAGGGGTTGGGTGGGCGGTGACGAGGAAGTGGAAAAATACCCATTGCGATATGCCTCAAAGCAAATAGCTACTTGAACAAAAAAACTCACACTGAAAAAAACTTCTTCCCAAGACCTTTTTTTGCTTTGTATCAATTTTTTGTGATTTATGTACAATTTTTTTTTAAAATCGTCAGCATCCAGGGAAAAGACGTGTGTACCATAAGAGAGTGAGTTATAACTTTGCCCTCGTACAAAAAAAACAAAAGAAGACGCCGACGACTACGACGACGACGACGACCACAACACCCCCTCCTATCCACGCCCACATGACCAGAGAAGGGAGGGAGACAGAAAGAGAGATATCCACACAAGAAGATGCCCTAAAAGGCCACCATAAAATACACAGAAAAAAAAACACATACACATACACATAAGACGAAGGTAATCACGAAGGCCAGTCCTACAAAGCAGAATAAACCGCCGTACAACCCCTTCCACACTCGACCTTTTGCTCAAACTCAACCGTCCTCCCCTTAAGCTTAACTTTGTTCCTTGGTGTAATCTGGAACCGATGCATCTCCTTTTCTCTGAGCTGCTTTGCAAAACCACTGCCACCACCAGCAGTAGCAGCAACAGACGCGGCTCTCTCGAGCTCTGCCGCCTGGTCCAGCGGCTGAATATACGCGGGAGTAGCAAGATTACTGCGCTTCCCCGATCCAATCTGGTAGAATTCGTTGTTGCCCCAGAAGAGGATGTCGCGGCCCCAATTCGTGTCGTTTTCGGTAAGTTTTGATTTGCGACCGGAGACGGCGACGCTGGCGACGTTGTCGAGGACGGCAGCTGCGTGGGAGGCGCCGACGGAGATGGTAGAGAGGCGAATGGGGATGGGCTTGTTGTTTGCTTCGTCCCATTCAAAGAGGCCGGAGAAGGCGGGGACTTTTACTGGTTCCGACTGGGCGTGCACCCAGCGGCCCACGCCGAGTTGACCGGTGAGGCCAAAGCCAAATGCCCAAGTGTCTGCTGTCGTTCGGTTGCCTTTTGTTGCTTCAATGGCGAGGAAAGATGTGTTGCCACCGGCAAACACATTGGTTACCTTGGCTTGCTGTCCAGAGTAGAACTTTTGGGTGGGGAGCAGAGACGGCGCGTCAATATTTTGTGCTTCTGCATTGAAGGGGAAACCAAGTTGGCCAGCTGTGTTGTCACCAAAAGTGAAAGCGCGTCCCTCCGAGTCACACACCAGACTGTGGTAGTCGCCTGTTGCGATCTTCTTGATGGGAAAGCCTTTAAGTGTGGTAATCTCGTGGGGAATGTCAAACGCACCAGCCGGACGATTCTCCCATGTCAGTCCAGGTATGCCGAGTTGGCCTTTGTTAGGAAAATTCTGGGAGCCCGAGGCAAAGGAAAAGACGCGACCGGATGAGGTGAGCATGAGAGCGTGCTCGAGGCCGGAACAGATGTCTGTCACACGCTCGCTCCATCCCAGATTTTCAGGTGTGCGTCCACGGTACGAAATGTCGTTGGAGCCGCCCCAGAAGGGAATCCAGGATTTGGACTTGGGTTTAGGTCCTTTCTTTTGCTCCGCCTGAGATACGGGGATAGAGTAAACGGAGCCGTTGTTGGAGAGGCCAATGATGCGATCGCGGGAAATGGCGAGCGACTTCAAATTCAGCCCTGTCAGAGTTTTCACAGGTTCCTTGACATCATCTGCGAATGCTGTGCCCCATTGCAAAAGATCGCCCTTCTCGTCTATAGCGGCTCCAAAGTTTTTGTCCAGCTTGATATCTCTCAGCAGCTTGCCGTCGAAGAAGCTTAGCCGCCGTGGAGTCTTGATGTACTTTTCGTCAGAATCGGGTGCGACGACCTTTCCCGTATTTGAGCCCCATGCGTACACCCCGGGGTTCTCCCAACTCTTGATGACCTGGAGGTGCTGGGAGCTGATAATGTTGCGATTGTCGTCGCTGGATGTGGCCTGCCGCCGTGGGGTCTCAAACTGCAGCTCTGGGCCCTCTATCGCCTCTGGTTCTTCGGCGTGGGCGTCTCTTAAGATTGACTCGCCATTGACCCACTGCCATGCGGTGGCAGTGGCCCAGAGAGCACCGACAGTGGCGATGGAGCGTACAAAATGCTGCTGCCGCCGCTGTGCGTATGGGTGTGCGGCGGCCCGAACCTGAGAGCGCGGGGCTCTGGCCGATATGTTCCTACATAGTCGCGGGGTGTGGCGTGTGGGTAGTGTCGCGCGAGAGACGCATTTGGTGCTAAGCATGGTGCAGCGTGATGGAGGGCGTGTGGGATTTGCGTAGTACAAAGAGAAGAAACGACCCAAGGGTGTCGAGTAGGATCAGGAGAGCAACATTTGCAGATTGTGCGTAGGTCCGATTATGGCCACCGGACTGGTCATTGGACACGCTCGATGGCTTCTTCACATTGCAGCGGGCGGGATCGATGACGCTTGGAGAGTTGGCGTCGGATCTCGTCTCCACCTGCTCGGGCTATACCTGATACGGTTAGCATTATTCAAATCCCCCCACGACACGTAGACCGAGCTCCGACGTGCAAGCTGGCGTGTCCGCTTCTGCAAGGCAACGTCAAGGAAACCATCCCAATTGGAGAAAAAAATAATGTACGAAGGAGACTCGTGGTACAATGCCTTCGTCCCGCGTGTGGCAAAGCCACAGGAAAAGGGCAATCGTCGCCGGCGGGAGAGCCTGCTGAAGCAGGAAAGCGTAAGCCCACCATCCGCTGCATGGGTATGTTTGAGCACTTCTGATGATTGTTTGTATAGGAGGCTCAGGCTGACTTCGAGCGCGCAGAAGCCATTGTAGAGAGTGCAGAAGAAGAACGCCCCGGCAAGCTTAGTGGTCCTCCCCCGGCAACCGTAGCCCGACGCGCAAAGTCATACAGCGACTTCTACACTGTAGTGCGAGCACACTTGAAGAAGGAAAAGGCATTGGAGAAGAAGAAGTCAAAAGAGGACATTAATACAGAACTTGAGTTGGTCGAGTGGTATGGTGGAGTCAATGACGAGCTGCTGGAAGCCAGCCATGAAGAGTACAGGTATGCATTGCCAGACTAGGATGGCCAAGAGAGTTACTGACTGATGGCTCCCAGACGTTATCAAGACCAGCTTCATATGACGCGAAACCACCTCCAGACTATCATCTCTGATACCACATCCACCCTCGACACCCTCTCCTCACTCTCGGAATCCTTCAAGATTGTCGAGGCGCAGACCAATGCGTTCCGTACAAAATGCGAAGGCCTCATTGACGACCAGAAGCGCATCACCAAGCTCGCCGATGATATGGAGGAGAACCTCAGGTACTACCTATATCTCGAGCCTACGACTAAGCGACTCAACGCGCCAGGCGCAGGCAAGATTGTTCGGGGCAATGAGTTTGTGGAAATGCTGGCCAATCTAGACAGCTGTCTGGAATACATGCAAGCACACCCTAAGCACCGCGAGGCGGAAACGTATCGCTCAAGGTACCGCTTGTTGCTCACTCGCGCTCTCACTCTCATCCGTGTTCATTTCACCGAAGCCCTGCGAGAAATTGCAGCAGACGTAGCGAAACGGATAGCTGACCGACAGCTCAATGACACGACCATGTCTGCGCTATTATACGCTAAGTTCCGTGTTGGTGCGCCAGAACTGAAGAGCATTGGTATGGAAATACAAAAGCGTGCAGTACTGCCGCCTGGTGCTGCCCCAGGTGCAGAAGCGGAATATCAGAGTCTGATGAACGAGTTGTACCAGAGCTACTCAGCCACTCGCGGCCGGCTCATTCTTCCAATTATTACAAAAAAGATTGGAGAGATTGCACAAGCCCCGAGCACATCGACTGACTTGGTTGCATTTGCTCGTAGTAGCATAAGCTACATCCGTGGCATATGTTTTGACGAATGTGGTCTATGGCGTGAGTGGTTCGAAGGTGATGGCGGGCTGTACGACTTTCTTGAAGCCGTATGCGAGCCCTTGTACGACCATCTAAGACCGCGGACTATTCACGAAACCCAAATACTCAAGCTATGTGAACTATGCACTTTAATACAGACACGGTATATGGAGGAAGAAGAAGAAGAAGAAGAGGAAGAGGTCTCTCCAATGGAAACCAACAAAATCGACTTCTCAGTCATAGTGCACCCCGCACTACAAGATGCGCAAAACCGCCTCGTGTTCCTATCTCTAGCCATCTTGCGGGATGGTATTGAAAGATACAAGCCAAAGCCAGAAGATCTCGATTACCCTGCGAAAAACAAAAAACAAGCGACTTCCGGAACCAAGTTGAATCAACCAGCCTTATCTGGCAAGAAGCAACCAAAGTCCGAGGGCCCCCCTACGCCATTACTGCCAAATGCACCCACGATTGTTGACGAAGATGATCCCGATACTCGGTGGAACTTCAACACTGAAGCTGCGTTTAAGGACTGGTATCCAACCTTGCGAAAAGCTATTTGGTTGCTCAGTAAGAT